CTTAAGTGATGTGAAGAAGTTGGAATGTTGCAAGTCCAGAGCCAAGTTGGGTCACCTTTAGCCCACTTCTGAATCATTAACTTTCCTCCTGACCCGTAGGTAAATCCTTTGGAATGAAGAAGCAGATTCCTAGTTTGAAACCAACTAGTGACTAAGGTTGTTGTGGGCTAAGGACCTACAGAAGAGGTCCTTCTTTTCTGTGACCACCTACCTGTTGCCTCCACTATCTTATTGAAAGTGCTCTGAATTATGACATCCTTTGTTCTGTTACCATAAAGACATCATCAAACTGTTACCACCTTGGAACATGGCATTTGGGGTATGAAGTTTGTTTCTGGGCCATTGTCACTCTTAGTGAGCTCCATGATTAAGTATCTCTAAGGGATGCACTTTGAGGAGGGAATGGTAAGCTTTTTGCATCTACAATAACTTAAAAAGGAAAAATACAAAAAAACAGAAATCAAGTCAGAGATTATTCCTTGAGGTTTTATATCGAGACAAATTGGCCCAGTAAGCTTTAGAGCTGGTTGGTTTGGATCACTAAGTTCCCAAAGAGCACACACTAATCAGGCTCTGACCCCAGTCTCTCAAAAGCACCCAGTGCACTATGCTTTGAGCTTAGAATTTCAAGTATACTGTTCTGTGAGTTTCAAAATGTTCAAAGAACAAGACAAAATGGCTCCCTACACAATGGGGAAAGGTCTTCACCAATCCCACATCTGACAGAGCGTTGTTGTCCAAAATATAAAAAGAACTCAAGAAACTAGAAATCAAACTACCAAATAATCCAATTAAAAAATGGGGTACAGATCTAAACAGAGAATTCTCAACAGAACAATCTCAAATGGCAGAAAGATACTTAAGGAAATGCTCAACATCCTTATACATGAGGGAAATGCAAATCAAAACTACTCTGAGATTCCATCCTACACTAATCAGAATGGCTAAAGTCAAAAACACCAATGACAATTTATATCCTGGAGAGGATGTGGAGAAAGAGGAATACTGCTCCATTGCTGGTGGGAGTGCAAACTTGTACAGCTGCTGTGGAAATTGATCTACCTCAAGACCCTGTAATAGCACTGTTCTCTATTCACACCACAAGGACATTTGTGCAACTATGTTCATAGCAGCATTATTTGTAATGGCCAGATCTAAGAAACAACCTAGATATTCCTCAACTAAAGAATGGATGAAAAAATATGGTACATTTACACAATAGCACTACTCAGTGGTAAGGAACAATGGCATCCTAAAATTCACAGGCAAATGGTCAGAACTAGAAAAAAAAAATCATGAGTGAGGTAACCCAAAATCAGAAATACAAATATAGTATGTACTCACTCATAAGTGAATACCAGACATAGAACAAAAGATACCCAGCCTACAATCATAGAGAAGCTAGAACCATCTTCTAGAAACATATGGAAGTAGATGCAGAAATCCACATCTAACCAATGGGCCAAACTCCTGGAGTATAATTGGCATGAGGAAGGAGTAATAATATGAACAAAGGAGTCAAGACCATGATGGGGAAACCCACAGAATCAGCTGACTAAAGCTAGTGAGACATCACTGACTCCGGTCTGACAAATGGGGAACCTACACAAGACCGAAGTAGACACCCTTAATAAAGGTGACAATGGTGTGACTGGGACAATATATGAGGCCACTGTCAGTGGGTCCAAGATCTAACACTAATGCACAAACTTTGTGGAGTCCATTCTATATGAAAAGATACCTTGCCCAGCCTAGACACAGGGCTGCAGTGGTGGGAAGGTACCTTAGTCCTGCCTCCAGGAGCTAGGGGAGGTCTTACCCTCTCTGTGGAGCAGATGGGAGGAGGGGTAGGGGAATGGGAGGAAAGGAGTGAGGGAGAACTGTGATTGGAGTGTAAAAAATAAATTACTAATAAAAATCTATATATAAGCGAAAAAATGTTCAAAGAACTCTCCAGTCTAAAATTTAGCAGAAATTTGTGGTTATCCAGAGGAGGCTAGCATCCAGACTGGATATCTGAAGAACACAAGGGAAGGCTGCAAATAACAATAACGGGCTCCACTAGAAAAGGCAGCAGGACTGCTGTCAGATTGCCATTTATTTTGGCTAGAGCTAATTCTTCTTCTCACATGGTTCTCTTGCTAGTTGCAATTATGTGGACACATTTTTTTCCTATGTTCTTTATAGTGATTATTATGAAGACCAGGGTTGCTATTGCTTAGTACTGCATACAAGGATGTGCTTGAGATTTAATGTTGAATATGCAGGAATGCAGGGTATGTTAGAGGAAGCATTCACTTGAGACATTGAAGAAGATGAAGACAAGAGGAAAAGTGATGAAGATTAGAGTTTCTAGTATTGAGGGGAGTCAAGAGTGGAGGGAAAAAGGAAGAGTCAAACCAACAAACACAAGTTTTATTTGAAAACATAAGGGCATTTAGTATTGTGCATCCTGAAAAATAATTTTTAAAAAGAATGATAAACTATTAGGAGTGTGCAGGTTAAGTGATATAACCTGCTATTGAACCAAAGGGACAGCTCACAAGAGGAAGTCTTGAATTAGTTGCCCCTGCAGAATCCAATTATGAGGGGAAAGAACATTCCTAAGCTATCTTCTACGGGAGTATGGCAAAAGAGAAAAGAGGCAGAAGATGAAGGTATCCTGTAGGTGTTAGTTTCACAGGGATGGAGGCACCCTTAGTTGAAGGAATGACTAGTGCGGTATTTCTTGGTTGAATAGTTGTTATTCTGTTATCAAACAATGGTAGGAAACATATACCTGATTCCTTTTACACATATAAATTCTAAAGGAACTTCCAAAACATCACAGACATAATAACACTATCAAGTTAGGAAAATTAGAGAAAATAGTGGGAACATACAAGAAATAACAGAACCATAAATCAACAACGGCAAAATAAGGAGAAGCATCCTGTGTGCTTTAAAAAAGGACATGATTTAGTAATGGGATGTTATTTGACAAAACACTTGTACACCCAAACTACAAAATAAATGTAGGAAGTGTTAGAAAAGTCAATCTGATAATACCAGGGAATCTTGTAAAAAAAGAAAAATAACCCTGAAAACTTGAATTTTTGGGAATCAAGGAGTGAAGCAAATCAGTTTGGGAAATCCTTTATGTTCCTCATCTAGTGCAAGATAACAACATTATAAATTATGACACATTCCCTTCCCGCCCTTTACTAAAGCTGCTGTGTGCCACACATACATGAAATGCATGCCCATCACCTTCAGTCCACCCCTTCCACCACCACTGTCAACCCCCTCTTCCCAAAATTCATTCCATTTTGTTGTTTTGATTTTTGCCTCGACAGGAGTGCATCGAGGGCCTCGTGCAAGCTAGACAAGCACTCCACTATTAGGTTACATTGCTAGTTTATCTGCGATATATTTAAAGTTGATTTGAGAAAGTCAAATGTTTATTGTCCTGATTTTATCATTACATATTCTATAACATGCATCGAATTCCCACAATACATTGTAAAGACATTCAAATGTTATCTATCAACATCCATTATAATTAAGCCATTCTGGTGCCCTATAATAAAGACAACAATTTGTTTTAAAAAAATGGGAGAGAATTTTAAGGGTGAGTCTCTGACACTGTCTGTCTTTAGCTGTCTCCCTAACAAGTAGGACGTTTATTTAATAAATGCCATCTGAGCTAGAGTTCAAATAATAGTGAGCATAAAAGTAGCCTTTTGAGAACTGCTATTGGAGAAAACCCATCAGTTATCATCCTCTTTCTAATGGAAATTACTAGCTGGCTACAGGCTATCACAGTAAGAAAAAAAAACATGATTTAACTTTATGAAAACAGTTTATGAATTAGTGGTGTTCTGGAAAGATTTGTATATGATCACATATGAAGGTGATATGATTCTGCCTTGGTGGTAGACTTGGCTCTTGATAACCAGAATTGCTTTCTTTTCACTATCACTGTTGTATGAAAGCCACCCTGGAGATTGCTCTCAAATGGCAAACCATCCTGAAGCTTTGTAGCAATACAAACAAATGACTCAAGTCCTTAGTCAAGACTGCATTTCTAGTCAACCATGATAACTATTGATTTGATGAAGAGCTAGCTCTGAGTTTTTCTTAATCTTTCTAAACCTTCATAGGGCCATGAGGCCTCACTAAGGCAGACAGGAATGGTAACACCTAGTCTCTATCATACTCCGATTCACACAATTGTTGCCATGACTACGGAGTATGTGTTCCAAGAGAGGAAAAATACCCAGGAAAGGTTTTACAATTTTCTGCATTTTGTGTCGAATAAGCAGTGAGGTTTATTTCTTAGAAATGAAGATTTATTTATTTTAACATGTATTCAGATATAGTAAGGGGCTCGTAAACTATAAGAAACTTTGCTCCACTTTCCTCACAAGGTACACACCCTATGAAACTGTGTCCAAACCAAGAAATGGCATTATCAAAATCTCTGAAGCTCCAGAGCATTCTTTTGCTCCTCTGGTCCCCATCACTTCCACACTCAGAGTAGTTAGATATCATTAGTTTTGACTGTTTCTGACTTTTATATAAATGGGATCATAACACATATTTCATGTCTGGCTTCTTTCTCTTGACATTGTAGTTAAACAGTTGTTTCTACTGTTACAGACAATTGACTTTGCTCATTTCCATTACTGCAATGTGCTAATATACTACAATTTTCACATCATTCCATTAATGAACATTTGGTAGTTTTCAGTTTTTTTTAGCTATTATGAACAATGACACCATGAGCTTTCTTGTATATGCATATTTCTTAATGCACAGATGTATGCTTTCTGTTGGATAAATAACTATAATTCTGATATTATATACTTGCATTAGAAACCTTAAATCCTTGCTATTAGTTTTTATTTATAATTTTCCAAAATGGCTGTAGAGCAGTACAGGGAATTCTCATCCTCAATATTCATGTGAACAAAGGTTTATTTTAAAAACAGATTTCTGACCCTAATTGATACCTAATCACTTAAGTTTTATGTAAAACTAAGAACTTGATAATGATTTTCTTTTATAAATTCGATGATTCTTTCTAAGATTTTAATTCTTTGTTCATTGCACGAGTTTCCTGTTTCATGCAGGAAAGCATACCTCTGCTGAATGGAATTTAGCAGAGTTAACAGGGTATCAGAAGCCTCATGCAAATATTCATCTTCACTGATCCCTGCTTCTTCTATTTTTTCTGAATGGGTAAAAAGAACAGCAGTGTGATTCTTCCAAGAATCTCCCAGAAGTTCCTGAAAGAGAGAGAAGTTAAATGACTATTTGCCTTGGACTCTATTCCTCAAAAAATGAGCAAAGCCATCATTAAAGTCCAGTGTCATTAGCCAACAGATCCATGTGTCATGATATTTCTGAAAGCTGATACATGTAATAGGAAGTGGCCATGAGCTCAAGGGTTGTTAGCACATCAAGGAAGATGGATGGAGTTTCTGAACAACAAAAGGCTTTGGTTTGCTGTTTTACTCTGCTGTTATAATTGATTTGCAAAACTTAACACTGCAGAGCATCTGGTACACTGAATGTAATATGGCCAGCACTCAGTGGTCGCGTATACTTACTCCACAGCCAGACCCTGTTAATACCACTCAGTTCCTTTAATTCCTGGTACCTTGAGCAAGGCAGTTGTTACAGCATGTATTCTTTTTTTAATGTTATGTTATCACCACTAAAGTATCTACTAAGGGATTAAAATGACATAATCTGGTTATGTTCTGTTGATTAACTAGATGACAAGTAATGGAAAGGCTAAGATCAAAATCCATTTGGTGAGTTGGAACCACTACACAAGATTACTGTAACCCTCATGTTCCTCTTGCCACATTCCTGGAATCAAAGGCAATTTATCAAATGGCTTCTTCTAATTTGCTTGAAAAGCACTCAAGACTGTTGTCCCTTTGTTTAGTGATATGTGTGGGTTGGTTGTGCAATAATTCTTGTTTGATTAGTGAAAACTAGCTGATATAAAGCAGAAACCACGGCATGTGTCATATTGTCCATCCAATGCAAAAGGCATCTAGGAATAACCATTTAACTTTTGAATGTTTCCAAACTTACATGAAATTGTAACCACGTGATAGTAAAGTAACATTTTCTCCCTTCTATATGCTCCCATGATTGAGATATTTATCAGTTTATAACACTTTTTTTTAGAAAAATGCAAAATGTCTGTAAATGAATATAGCAAGGGATAGCAAGAACTTCTATCTAGAAGAAAGCAAACAAAAAAATGAAGAATTAGTAGAAGGTATTATGCTATGCTTTTTTAAATGGGCACTCTCTCTTAGTCATCTGCCTCCTCTCTCAATCCCCTCTCTCTCTCATTTCAGGTTAGTTTGGTGCGGTTTGAGTTTTTTGGAACAGAGTCTTACTCTATTCCCTCAGGCTGACCTCAAACATACCAACCCTGCTTTTGCCTGCCCAGTGCCTGCCCAGTGCCACCATCATGCTTTGCCATGCATAACTTTTTGATGCTCAACACAAAGCTTTGCCATCGTACTATTACTATTCCTGTTGTGGCATCAAAAACCAACATGCGAAGAGGTTGAACTATGCGTTAGTAATGTTTTCACTGAAACAGTCTGAGAAGCCATGTCTCAGTGTATGTAACAAATACATGGTTGGTATTTATGGTATAGTAAAATGAAGGGAAGAGTGGGAGGGAAAGAATACGGAAAAGAGGAAGTAAAGGAAGGAACCAGGACAAGTGGGTCTAATATGAAACCACTTATGAAAACTCTGAGACAGGGGTTTCAGAGATATCTGTGTCTTTGAATATTAATTACAAATCCTGGGAACAGTCTAGCTTTTATCAGAGCCATTTATTTATACCTGCGTTACTGAAACTTGGCAGTGACCTCTCTGAAGGCACATTCTGTATCTGATTGTCAGTCATCCTAGGGTTCCAGCGTGCTGTAAAGTCTCAGCAATATCTGCAGACGATTTTGGATTTGGATCCTCTTGACTGAGTCAAATTGCAGACTTAGTGTGCTTTTGAGGGTTCAGTTCTGAATTTTATTCTCTGGGACACAATCCTGCACTTCTGAGTTTTATAGCTCACTGTGGTGGATTTCTTACAGTCTGTGCTTTCACTCCACAATCAGAGCAAATTTCTGTAGGGATGAGTCTGCCTGTTTGCTCTTACCTAACAGAATGTGTCTACCTTCACCGCAGGCTTACAGGTTCCCCTAACATCCTCTACCTCATCAGAATGTGTCTACCTCCACCACAGGCTTGCAGGTTCCCCTAAAACATCCAGTTTCAAGAAAAGAGCTGACTTTTGGAAAACAGTGTACCAGACGACATGTCTTAACAGTAAATGCACAAGGGTTGTCCAAAGCACTGCTTCAGTTATAACATTCACATGTGCTTTTAAATCCCAATGCATTTGAAAACTCAGGTTTGCTCAACCATTAAAGGTCATAGCTCTATAGATCTAAGTATCCATATGATGCATAAGACCCATGGCATGGCAAAGACATTTGTAGGACTGTGTGCTGGCCGTGTGTTGTACATATCTCTGGTAGAGAGGAGACACGTGCTGCAGTGTGAATGAACAGTGTTATTAGGGTTGAACTGTGTCCTCCCGTAATTCATATGCCAAGTCCTAATCCTCAGTCCCTCAGACTGTGACCTTATTTGGAAAGAGTGTCATAAAGATGTGATTAATTTAAGGAAAAGTCGTTAGGTTAGCTCACGGTCTAAAGTTATTAATGCCCTTATAAACTAGGAAAATTTGAACAGAGACACAAATATAAGGAAAAGGTCATGGACCCTCCAAATAGTCATGTGCAGGAGAAAATAGTTCAGGAGAAGGCCTGGAACACATCATTTGCTCACGGCCCTCAGAAGAAACAAACCTTGCCAATTCTGTGACTTCAGACTTCTGACCTCAAGAACTAAGAGACAATAAATACCTATTCCTTGCTGCAAAGGAATTAGCATGGGCCTCCAAGATGGCTCTGGGGTAACAGTATTTAGAGTTTGAGCCTATATGTCTGAGGCTCACTGGAAGAAAGCTTGTTCTCATCAAAAGAACAGGCTCTTTTGCCTGTGTAGACACACAGTGTCCCAGCTAGGCCAGGCCATGGCACCACCTCTTTGGAAGGCATGCTAAAGCAATAGGTGGAATCAGTTTCTCTTTAATGAACTCCTGAGCCTTTCCTCCCCAGTCCCCAACTCACTAAGATGTTGCGCTTCCACAGCATCTGGGAATTCTCCTACTCTTTCTCTAAAGCATCCCTCCTGCCAATGGCTGCTTTCCCACCCTGTGTCTGACTTCTACACCAGCTTTAAGAGCCTGTTTGTTGTTGTTGTTGTTTTGTTTTCCGTCTCTCCTCCATAATGCTCCTTCAAGTAGCTGCTAAGATTGGTAGCTTACCTACTCTGATTTTTTTTTTTAACTCTAATAAAAATATCCTTGAGCATTCTTATATTATTGAGACTAGGAAGAAGGGACCGAGATTTCCTCTGTATCATCAGACAACCACGAAAAGCGTCCCCAAAATTCAAGTAACATGATGACCTGAGGTAGATCCTTAGAGTCCACATAAAAGCCAATCCCAGCTGTCTTCTGACCTCCATACTCATGCTGTGGCCCCTGTGCATGCGCACACCCCCCCCACAGTCTAATAATGATGATAATAGGTAGTAATGAAATTCAAAAAGAACATAAGAGTAGGAAGACCAAGTCAGGGGAGGAATACACAAGAGAGAGAGAGAGAGAGAGAGAGAGAGAGAGAGAGAGAGAGAGAGAGAGAGAGAGAGAGAGAGAGATTATATAAGAGGGAGCCATTATAGGTTTGAAGAGAAAACTGACTCTAGAGAAATGTCCAGAGACCTACAAGACTGACTCCAACTAACAATTTGAGCAACCGTGGAAAGGCTACCACAAATGCCCTTCCCTGATAATGAAATTGATGACTAACTTATCCACCATCATGGAGCCCTCATCTAGTAGCTGATGGAAACAGAAGCAAACACCCACAACTAAACACTGACCCAAACTGGAATCCAGATACAGAGAGGGAGGACAAGACCAGGCTACAGAAACCCACTGAGACAGCTGACCTAAACGAGGAGCTAACGGGCCCCCAGACTGATAGCTGGGAATCCAGCATGGGACTGACTCAGATGCCCTGGACATGGGCCTCAGTTAGAAGGCCTGGGCAGTCTAAGGGACCTCCAACAGTGGAACCAGGATGTATTCCTGGTACACAAAAGGACCTTGTGGACACACCCCCCATGGAGGGATACTGCCTTAACCTAGAGACAGGAGAGAAGTCCTACTCCAAATGACTTGACTGATTTAGATGACCCCTCCAGGAAGGCATCACCCTACATGTGGAGTGGGGGTGGGGTGGGATGGGAGGGTGGTCAGCGACATGGGAGGGTGGAAGAGAGGGAGGGACAGAGAGGGAACTGGGATTGATATGTAATATAAGAAAAAATTTTTAAAAGTATGGATTGTATGATATTAGGATTTTATTTTCACTCAGATCCAAGTATCAATCCTTGACCACACTCATATCTGAATATTTCTGACATTTGGAGCCTACGTGTATATTCCTGTGCCTTACTGATTGTCATACTACTAAGATGTTTATGTACAAGTTAGTAAGTAACTGATGCTGTTAGTCCTTGAACACCAGCAAACTAACCAGCCTGGTGGTTTTAGCTGGTACCTAGACTATACTTGCCATGAAATATTTCTGAGTTATCATCATAATAAAAGGACATGCTAAAATACTATTTTGTACAACATCCCTTTCTAGAGGTATGTATCATAGCATAATTCTTTTCTTACTAAGTTAATCCTTAAAAAAGTAAGTAGCATAACTCTCTTTATTTCCGGTTTTCTGTAATGAGCTCCCCCTTTTTATTTTCCTTCCTGTAGTTTTTATACTTCAAAGTTATGTCCCTCAGGATAGATTAGTGGAAGCACTGAACGCCAGGACACTCACAAGCCCACGTGTTCAGCCACAGGGAAGTCTTTTAAGACTTTTTATTTTTTTAATGAAAGGATACTTATATCTTCAACTGTGAGAGAAAATGCACTTTTGAGTTACTGCCCAAACCAGAAAAGTATGGCTGATTTACTTTCTAATCTTTAGATTGGTCTTTGTCCAGAAAATATGTTTGAAAATAGTGTCACTTGGTGATAGTCATCATTTCAGTGGCCAAACATGTTCTCTGTGGACTTAAAGAATGAACAATCATAGTTGATTGATGTCTCAAA